CAGGTGGTTGCTGTCTGTTGTCTAGAACCCGAACGTACAGGTGTTTGCTGTTTGTTGTCTAGAACCCGCAGGCTTAGTCCGTGGTGACTAACGTACAGGTGGTTGCTGTCTGTTGTCTAGAACCCGCAGGCTTAGTCCATGGTGACTAACGTACAGGTGGTTGCTGTCTGTTGTCTAGAACCCGCAGGCTTAGTCCGTGGTGACTAACGTACAGGTGGTTGCTGTCTGTTGTCTAGAACCCGCATGCTTAGTCCGTGGTGACTAACGTACAGGTGGTTGCTGTTTGTTGTCTAGAACCCGCATGCTTAGTCCGTGGTGACTAACGTACAGGTGGTTGCTGTCTGTTGTCTAGAACCCGCAGGCTGTCACCGTCGACCGGCTGGACGTCGCTGTCGGCGACACGGGCTTCATATCAAAGACGTTCGTCTTTCCGGCGTTCCCCGTCTTCGGTAACTGGTCGGTCGTCGGCTACCATGGACCTCAGGTAACGCGCACGCGCGCACGCACGCACGCACGCATACGTGTACGGACGTACATACGCACACACCGCACGCACACACGTACAAGCGCATGCATGCACACATCCACGCACAGACATACCAACGCACACGTTCGCATGCACGCACACACGCACGCAGGCACGCACGCACGGATGCACGCATACACATACATATACGTACACACACACGCACACACTCACTCACGCACGGATAACCATACGCACGCACGCGCGCACGCACGCACGCACGAAGCCCGTAAGTTGAACATTTTGAAACAGTAATCGGCTGTTCTATCCTTTCTCTACATCGAGTAGACGGCGCGAGTTAAGACTACGATGAATCAGATGATATCTCGATGTGCCAGTTTAACTTTGACATTCACGTATCGCTAAGCTACGTTCTGCGCGTATGTCAGTCTGTGAGCGCCTTAACGGTTTCCGGCTTTTTGCTACATTTTCGCCTCTCACGGCCATCACGCGCTGTCTCGTCGAATGCTAGATTTTGTCAAATCTCCATCGATATTTTTTTCAATCGTCTGTGTTGTTTTACAGCTGAAGTACAATTCGACGGCGAAATTCGAAGTGAAGGAATACAGTAAGTAACGTCTGTAGTTTCATAGCAACGGCTCTATCGAGCGAGATCCATCCCCACCCCACCCCACCGCACGCGCGCGAGCGCACACACACACGCACACACACACACGCACACACACACACACACACACACACACATACACATACACATACACGCGCGCTCTCTCTCACACACACACACATGCACGCCCCCCTCCACACACACACACATACAAAACCCTCGTGCTGGCATCGCGAGGATGGGTGAATGAATGTACCTGATGCCGATGTCAGCGCCATCTCAGGCTAATTATCAGATGAATGCGAACATCTTCAATGTGATCTAATCGCATCCCGTGGTTCAGCCGACACGTCATGAGCATCGATGTTTGATGTCGTCGGCGGTGCGGGCCGTAAATTCCTCCGAGAAATATCTTCAGCGAGAGAGAGAGAGAGAGAGAGAGAGAGAGAGAGAGAGAGAGAGAGAGAGAGAGAGAGAGAGAGAG